TAAATCCGGTGAGAAGATGAATTTTTGTCTGACTTCCTTTTCTATACGCGTGTACTTGCTCAAATTTAATGTAAAAATGATAGGACATTACATTTCTATTATTTATTTTACAAGTGTATAAAACTTCTCAGTATAAGAAGACTGTATTTCATTTATTCAATTATTAATAATAATACTAAATCTTCTGTTAATTTCAATTCTTTTACTTTGGTCGAATACTCATTATATCTTAGAGTGAACATTTCTTAGAAATGTTCTTATTAATATTCACCCATTATAAGGCTCAAGAGCCCCTCAAAATAGAAGGTTACTAAATAAAGTGTGTGATATAGATGTAAGAGTAAGAAGTGAAGATTATGTAGATATGGAAGACAGTTAATGACTGACCCTTGATTTAAAAGTTTAAGACAGTAGCATTTTGTGAAGCATCTACGAGGGAGTCTGTTCCACAAAGAAGCGTTTCTTGCGAAAAAGCTCTCTGAGCGAAAGTTTCTCTTTACAGTTGGAATATGAAGGAAGTTTGGTTTGTTTGAATCTGTGGATGCAGCATGGTTATTTTTTTTTTACTTATTTCACTCAAAGCAAGGCAATAAAGCCACTGAGACCCAAGGGGGCTACCGAGTGCTAGAAAATACGAGAGAAAAAAACATTATTAAGCAGAGAGAACAATAATGGAACAGGAATTAAGGAGGCGGAAGATAATTATTGATATTGCATTTAAATTTGGGAAGGGGTTAAAGGTTAATTAAACTAGATGACATTTCCTTTGTTTTATTTAATTTTACTTTTTATTCCTTTTTGTCTCCTTTCCGCACAATTGTTTTGTCTTCTTAATTTCCGTGTTTGTAAGTGTTATGGGACTCTTCCCATAATAACATAATGGACTATTCCATATGTAATAAATACTGCACCTCAAGAAGAAGCAGGGAGTTCAGTTCGAAGTCGGGCGACCGGCTGACAGGCTGATCGGTTGAACTCTCAACCTTCGGGCGGGGAGGAACCCGAACGAGGCTACGCCGAAGGGCGGAGTCTCTTTCGGGGAGGTAAACCGACCCTGAACCCGTTTATACGGGTTCAAAAGGCAAATTTCTGTCCGAACCCAAGCACTCGGAGATCCCACGTTAAACCGGTCTTGTACCACATGATGCCCTCGTTGGGGGGGTGACTAGATATCGTTCAGTCTAAAGTCGGACGACCGGCTGATCAGTTGAACTCTCTGCCTTCGGACGGGGAGGAACATGAACGAGGCTACGCCGAAGATCCAACGTTATACCGGCTTTGTGCCACATGATGCCCTCGTGGTGGGGTGACTAAATACTTTTCAGTCTGAAGTCTGGAGAGAGGTCCGTCAGGAGTCTGTCAGTCAATCAGAGCGAGCGAGTCAGTCAGTCGAGTCAGAGGCTGTCCGAAACAGAGTCGCGTTCAGACAATTACTACTAAACCTGATTGTTCATACTAACACTTTCAACGTATATATTCCTGTTTGTATTATATCTGTGTTATTCCATATACGTGTTCGAGTTCTTCTTTATTGGTTCTACCTTGGACTATCACCGTGTTATAAGGAACCGGACCATAACAGTAAGTCATGGAGTTTTCTGTCTTATCTTTCTTATTAAACTGGTCACCAGATGGCGTTCCTTGTCAGCAACTTCATTTCGTCGGACCAGAGAAGGCCTAGAAAGATTAGACACTATCTTTCGACAAATAGATTTGTACAGACACACGATTACGTGTGTCTGTGTAAACAAGGGAGAAATACAAGTCTAAATTTAACCTTCTGCCTTTTATATAGTTAGTAAAAAACGTGAGTGTATGCAACTGGACATTGACGCCTTTTTTTGGCTTAGTTTAAAAGAGTGATTTCGAAAATTACCAATACGCCAGCCCCACTTTATATTTTACAAATTTGTGGAAGAAAAAGTAATATGAATTATATAAATTAACGAATAAATTGTTTTACTTAGTGGTTTTTATAATCAGCTTATTTCAGAGGGAATGGAAGTATGACACGCTGAAGGCCACATCACGTTAAAGCTCCGTTTCCTATACAATCAGCGAAGTTAAGCAATGTTAAGACTGGTTAGTACCTAGATGGATAACCGTTTGGGAATACTAGTTAAATGGACACATTAAAAAGAAGAGGAGGTTCAATTTTTAAATTTTGAGATCCGATGTATATATCTAGCGGAACTTTTATTTATATTTTATATGTCATAATTTTTGTTTTTGGTGGCCGAGAAATAGAAAGCTTGGATGTGCGGTGACGTAATGGATAACAACTTAGAATTGTTAATCGAAGAGTGAAGTTCCATTTCCCGGTGTGTTTGTTATATACATTTGCATGAAAATACCCTTGGGAAAGGTATGAATTCAAAACTTCTCCTCCAGCTATGGGTTAATTACGGCTTTTATCTCTAAACCTTTATTATCTTTAAAGAAAATTATTACCATCTAAAGATATTTTGTTGGCTTCATATAATCTGCAAAGGGTTGTTAACAAGTCAAAACGAAACAATCTTTCAAAAATGTCCTTTTTTTCTGCGACATGAAAGAAAACTAACGGAATTTCGACCTTGATGGGACTTGAACCCACAATCTTCGGTTCCGGAGACCGACGCCTTATCCATTAGGCCACAAGGCCGTCGAGGACACAATGTATTACTTAAATTATATGATCGATGGCCTGAAATAATTTTTGCTTGACATGTGAAGACTTGCAGTAATCTTTCTAGGCGAGACGAAAACAAATCCTTACTATGTCGTTAAGGCTTCATAGAAAAGTTAGCGTTAATGTCGGTTAAAATTTAGTTATATTTCTTCAGAAATGACACTTGACTATAGTCAAATCATTTCGAATTGATTCCTATATTAAAATCATTTCCAATGTATTCCTATGGCAATCGTGATGATGAGATTGCCCGTTTCCATACAAGAAACATTCGGCCTTCAGTGACTGAACAGTTAGCGTTACTTTCTGTTAAAATTTATAAATTCTTTCTCTTAAAACTCTTTTTCAGAAATGACACTTGACTATAGTCAAATCATTTCCAATGCATTCCTATATCAATGATAATGATGAGATTGACCGTTTCCATACAGGAAACATTCGGCCTTCATTGACTGAACAGTTAGCGTTACTTTCTGTTAAAATTTATAAATTCTTTCTCTTAAAACTCTTTTTCAGAAATGACACTTGACTATAGTCAAATCATTTTGAATGGATTCTTATCTTAAAATCATTTTCAATGTATTCCTATGGCAATGATAATGATTAGATTGACCGTTTCCATACAGGAAACATTCGGCCTTCATTGACCAAACAGTTAGCGTTACTGTCGTTTGAAATTTATAAATTCTTTCTCTTAAAACTCTTTTTTCAGAAATGACACTTGACTAAGTCAAATCATTTCCAATGCATTCCTATATCAATGATAATGATGAGATTGACCGTTTCCATACAGGAAACATTTTCATTGACTGAACAGTTAGCGTTACTTTCTGTTAAAATTTATAAATTCTTTCTCTTAAAACTCTTTTTCAGAAATGACACTTGACTATAGTCAAATCATTTTGAATGGATTCTTATCTTAAAATCATTTTCAATGTATTCCTATGGCAATGATAATGATTAGATTGACCGTTTCCATACAGGAAACATTCGGCCTTCATTGACCAAACAGTTAGCGTTACTGTCGGTTGAAATTTATAAATTCTTTCTCTTAAAACTCTTTTTCAGAAATGACACTTGACTATAGTCAAATCATTTCCAATGCATTCCTATATCAATGATAATGATGAGATTGACCGTTTCCATACAGGAAACATTCGGCCTTCATTGACTGAACAGTTAGCGTTACTTTCTGTTAAAATTTTTAAATCTTTCTCTTCAAACACGTTCTCAGCAAATTATGTTTCAAGGCACTGTTTATTCTTCTTTCTATTATTGATGGGCTTTGCTTCCCTAACCTTTTGTTTAAGTTAGTGTGTAAAATAATCATCACGATTGTACCACCGTTTTTGTACTAGTTATAGGTGCTAAACAGTTTATTTGTTGCTGCAGTTGGAGAACTTGATGTGATGTGGTTTTTGTGATTCTGTAGCGCCAATCTCTAAGATTATATGAAGACTTGTTTTTTGTTTTTTTACACCTAAAAAATTAATTCCTTTGGAGGCATTTTTAATCATTCATCTGAGAAAACTATTGTACAGGTTTGATATTTTAAACATTTCTGAACGAGTTGGTTACAAAGCGTGACATCCACATGAGACTCTGCATCTGACGAGGCTGTTTAAGAGCATAATTCGATCTCTTAAGTTAATATTTTGGTTTTGCTCTGTTGAGGAAAATTACTCCCACCCGGACTTAAAATTAAGTATTTCAAAACACGCAGCACAAATAACTTTTCATAGGTAACTAAAAATTTCTTAACATTTAACAAAAAGAATATTTCGACTTCTGCCTGAACCGCCATGTTTACATCCGATCGGCCATGCGCGTTTTCATCTTCTCAGAAGAACATAGCAAAGCATTCTAACCTTGATTTTAATGAAGTTATTTTCTTTTTTAATATATAAAGCTCAACGTTTGTGTGTGTTTGTCCACTCGAAGCCCTTAAAATTAAGTACATGAAACGGATTGTTTTGTGTGTGAAAATATAAATTAAAACTGTAACAAGCAAATTAAGGAGATTTTGGATTTTTACGTACACCGTTTGAACGGTGTATGACACAAGGTTGAATTTAAAATAGTCTTGGGACAAATGTTGCTCAGCGCCCTAGGCATACCTCATGTATCAGGAATTAGCCAAGCACCCTTCCACTTTCAGCCATAGATAAGAAAAAAAAAGATTTTGTTTTTATCAGAACGCCAACTTTGTTCCAAATACGACTCAAATAATTTTAATGCTGAGGTTCCTGCCATAGTAATAATTAGGGCAAAACTAATCCCATCTCATCTGTACGTTTCCTTTATGAAGGACACTTCAGACGTCTCGGTTATGACCCTAGCCTCTTCCAGTGAGAGAGGGTTATGTCGGATAGATGGTCTCTTGGGACAGTAATTAATGAAGGTACTGTATAAAAAAAATGTGACTTTAGCATTTAGTATTTGATTGGTCTCCTTCTTTTACAGTTGAAATAGCTAAATGTAACCATGAGCTACAACTGCGCCACACTGCACTGAGTCAGGAGAGCAATGGGAGGGAGCAAAAAAAACAAATTACCAACTTGGAGTTACGACTACTCCAAAAAATATTGGAGTAACAAAACCGCAGGTTTAAACAAAATCCGACCGACATCCGACAGTAAGGCCTCTGATCAAGAGATTGGAGGTTTTGAAGAACGTGGAACCACCTCTTAATGACCTGGAGTTGTAGCACCTGTTAGGGTCCTAGCTATAGGAAAATAATGACTCCCCACCGCCCAAACAAAAACAAAACTATGAAAGTATAAAAATACATTTATATAGTAAAATTTCTCTTTTTTTTTGTACTTTGAATTTACATTTTTACATTTTTAGTTTCAACATTACTTATTTTTCTTCTTCTCATCATTTGTTGTCTTTTATTCAAGTTTCCTTTCTCTTTCTTTCTTTCTCTCTTTGTTTTGTTCTTGTCTCTCTTCTGTATGTTATTTTTGTTCTCATCTCTCCTCCTCCCCTTCCTCCTCTCTCACAGCTCCTCTTTTTCTTGCACTTCTTCTTCTTCTTCTTCTTCTTTTGCTGCTGCTCCTGCTGTTGCTGCCGCTCTTCTTTTGATCTCTACTCCTCCCCCTCCTCCTTTTCTTCTTCTTCTTCTTCTTCTTCTTCTTCTTCATTTCTTGCTGCAGCTTCTTTTGATTTCTCCTTTTCCTCATTTTCTTTTCTTCTTCCTCTTCTGCTGCTGCGTCTGATCTCTCCTTCTCATCTTCTTTCTTTTCTCTTTGTCTTTACTTTCGTTCATTTTTCTGCTGCATTTTTCTAATTCTTTATTATTTATTCTTTTTTTTATTTTTATTTTCTTCTTCTTCTTCTTTACATTTTGCTCTCATCTTTTCTTCCTCTTTACCTCTCTTCTCTGTCTTTTTATCTACTTTTTTTTCTCTTCTTGCTGTTCTCACCAATTCTCCTCCTTCTCCATCTTCAGTAGCCCGCACTTATTCGATCCTATGAATAAAACCTTAGCAAGTATCTTGATAACGCTGTCATGTCTATGCAAATCTGATGGTTGCGGTCTGTAACAGTTCATGCCAAACTCAAGATTTCACGTGACCAAAGTTTAGTTTCGGGTTATGTTTACCTTAAAATAGCGGAAAGATGTTTCTCGAATTACTGTCTTCGATGGAGTCTTCTCCGTTTTTTTTTTTTTTTCGTTTTTTTTCGTTTTTTTTTCTCGAGATGAAGATGTGGATAAACATTGTGATGAAAGTAGGGAAAATGGTGACATGAAGAGGGAATGCCAAGAATGTGGCCTATCACTGGAGAATAGGCAAACAGATATAGAGATAGAGTTGAAAAAAATAAATAGATGTATGTAAAAGTAGATAGAGGAGATGCGAGCGATGCAATGCTAAACGGCTCGGAAATCGACGGGTTGAGTTCGAATTCCAGTCGAATTCTTTACGTAACTCCTCCTTGGGAAATGTATGAATACATCTTTTCTCCTAACATCTCGGAATAGCGCACAGACTGGGCTATTTAACCTTGGTTGACAAACAGTCTAGGAGAGGGACAATTCTGAATTTAAAAACGGTTGGGCTGTCAGCTCTATACTTGCCATGGTAACCGGAACAGCAACGCCTGTCGTCGTGAACCTGTGGCTTCCTACTTCTCAGTACACAGGACACTTGACAGAGGGAGAAGAAAAAGCATATAAACATATATATTAAATAAATGCATATTGAGGTATAGGTACAATATGCTCAAAGTTCCTGACAAAATCCAAAGAAGTATCTACAATGTAATCGACTTGGCATCTCCGGATTTCTCACAGACGTATTGTGGCTTCCCTCTGTCTTTTCTACAAATATTTTCATGGCAACTCTTCTGACGAACTTTTTTCCTTGACGCCCCGACTGCTTGCATTTAAGCGTGCTACTAGATTGGCATTGAGGTCTCACTCTTTTACTGTTGAAATAGTTAAATAGAATCGCCACTTCTACTCCAACAGTTGTTTTTTTCGCACTTATTGATAGAACTCCTTTCCGCCTGCTTGCTCGCCTCATAACTATAATCTTCTAAAATTTAAATGCAACGACAATTGCTATTTTCTGTTGTCTTTAACTCACTTCCTCTTCTATCCTTTCCCCAGTCCCCATTATGCCCGGTTTTATTTCTCAGTTTCTCTCCCTCTCTAACACCTGGTGTACTAATGGCACTCCTGCCTTGTCTGGGGTGAATTTTTATATATATATATATATATATATATATATATATATATATATATATATATATATACTTCCAAAAATCACTAAAAATTGATCATAAATTATATATATATAGAGAGAGAGAGGGGGGAGAGAGAGAAAAATATAGAAAGAGAGAGAGATAAAAGTGGACTTTAATTTCAACACTCACAGGCGACAACTTAAAAATTGATCATAAATTATATATATATATATGTGTGTGTGTGTGTGTGTGTTTGTGTGTGTGTGTGTGTATAAACGTGAACATTGAAGTCAATACTCAGAGGCGATAGGCGGCCTGACGATTGCGTCTAGCATGAAACAGCCTGTCGCCTCTGAGTGTTGACTTCAATGTTCACTTTTATATTTACATACGTTCTATCTCTGATATTGAGCACTTTATCCCACAAATGTAGCCCACCTTAAAACTATAAGAAACACTGAAAGTCTTGTACTGGACATTGAAATTGATACAATATCACGCTGGTTTAGATTTGATGGCGTTTATTTCGATTAGTGACAACACGCTTTGCGTTTTTCCTTTTTCTTTAATATATTGTAAATGTTAAATGTTTTCTTTAATATATTATAAGTGTTAAATATTTCCTTTAATATATTATAAATGTTAAATGTTTTTCGAGAATTATGGCAAAATATGGTGTTTAATGATTCTTCGTTTTGCGAATTCGTCCTGCTTATAATTATTGTGTATCTGGTTGCAGTAAAATACGTTGATGTTGTGTTTTATCGTAAGTTTTATTATTATTGTAAAGTTTTGTAAATATCATTTTATTTCTTTATCAATGATGTAGTTCGGAAAATTATTTTTGAAGCATGTTTGTTTTATGTGTTTTAGTTCACTCAAAAATATTCTTCAGGAAGAGCAGTTTTGGTGTGCTCCAATTAAAAAGTATTGTATCACTGTTATTTTATATCTTTCCAGGCATTGGCTATCATAGTTGAGAAGACTGGTTGGCTTTTATACGGGTAGGTGGCAAATTGGATTCTAATTTTATATCAACATCAAGGAATGGGATTTTGTTAATAACCATGGGTTCGTATGTAAATATTTAGCGTTGTTTTTTTTTCAAAAGTTGATTTTAGATTTATAATTTCGTCTTTATTTTTTATCAAAAACAAATAATATATATATATATATATATATATATATATTCAACACCATCACGTGATAAGACACCAGAAGTGTTGAAACAAAATGGCTATTTTTAAAGTGATTTTATAACATATTTATGTTATAATTTTCGAATAAATTATATTTGCTCCACTCCGTATTGAGCACTCTTTTAAGAATAGTAAATTTTGGTTATTGGAACCTCCAAAATTCGCTTGAAGATGAAACAGAACTAAAGCTTTCAATTTAATTATATAATTAAATTTGTGTCATTTACACACACACACACACACACACACACATATATATATATATATATATATATAATCACGAACTTTTAGGAATACGTTATGAAAGCGTCGCCCATGTGACTACGGCGTGACCACGTTAAACGGAAAGCTGATCTTTTTAAAAATTGTCAGTTATCTGTTTTACTCTTGGATAAGACTTGTGTTTTTATGTCCATCGTTTTCGTCATATTGAACTGAATTTGTATTTTAATGAATTTTGTCTTGAAAATGGTTTATTAAAACCGAAACGTCTGACGTCGACAATTCTTTCATTTTAACTACATTTATGGATTTTTGTTTGTTTTTCAAAATTTCTACATATATATATATATATATATAACACATGAGAGAGACAATAAAATCACATAACAACAATTAACGCAACAAAATGCAAGAAATCTTTATCAATAACACAAACAAACTATATTAGATAAACTGTAAAACCGCTACAGATTCAAGAAGCATTAATAATTACAAACATTAATAAAATAAAATAAAAAATACGCTATCAATACCATTTTATCAAATTTAGGAACAAACATATCAAATATATTTAAGAATAAAAAAAATGGGAACCTGACGCGTAAAAACTTGAAAAAACAAACATGACGTTTGAAGATGTAATATTATAAACAAAATGTCCGAAAATTCGAATTTTTAACATATTTCTCGTTATGGGTCTACTTTTTTAATGGCCGAATAATATACAATAAATATTACTATTATTATTAAAAAAAATCATTATTGACCTTCATTTGTTTTTAATCACATAGGGCAAATGAAGGATGTGTTATATAAGAATAAAGTGTCGCTTGAGTTTGAACATAGGATCGCCAGGGAGCCAACACAGGCAGTCCCATTATTGAATTAAGTAGACCACGTGACCATAAAGGAAACGCACATGTATAGGAAGTCGCTTGACATCTAAACGCTCTTCATTTCTAGCCTATCCTCTATTACTATTCGGATCTCTATTTCTCGTCTATCCTCTATTACTATATGGACCGCTATTCTCTACTCTATTCACTATACTATTTCTCTTTTCGGATCACTATGTGGATTATTATTATTATTCGAACGAGTATTATCGTGCAAGTACTACTAATGTCAGTGCTATTCGAAAGCGTCTGACACTAGTATTGTTTCAATGGTGTTACTATAGTTGTATCTGCGATTACAAAGTCTCTACTACAACGAGCATTACGAAAGTAACAACGAGTGTTCGTTAACATCAAAAAAGGGTGCGATTTTTGTTGTTTCCACTTAATTAAACAAAAGACAGCTATTAACAACAAAGGCCCTTAAATGAAGAAAACTCATTTTTACAATGATGTTCACCCTGTACAAGGCACAAGAGCCACTCAATGTAGAGGGCTACAGCATTCCAATATGTAGCTTATTATATGCCTGTTTTATTTTACAAGTCACCACACTGTAGCACAAATGGCAGGGCATGAGAAATTAAAGCCGGATATTTCTGTCTGAAACATTGGATGTGCCATTAATGATGAGTAAGATTAGCACCAATAACAGTGTTACTCTTTGTGGTTAATATTGTCTTAAAATGATTATATTGCATTTTAATGGCAGTCAGTATAGAAACGTTGGAAAAAGAATATGAAAACTGAAGTACACTGATTCTAACTGAAATGAAATCCTTAAATGTTTACCTTTCAGAAAAATATAGACTTTACTATGTCTCTCTTGGAGAAATACAAACTGCATGACATCGGAATTTAAAAGACAAAAGAAAAATATTTCATTTTGGAGAAGTGACAAGTGGCACTGACATAAGAGTAAGAAACCAGATTCCTGGCTATGACGAAAACTGCATCCGGCAGCAAGGCTTGTGATCGGAAGGTTTTGAGGAGCGCGGAAACACATCTTAATTTTTGTTCTTCCCCGCCTTGTGGTGGAAGCCACTGTTAGGATCCCAGCTAAATAGAGAACACCAAAATTGGGACCAAAAACACTATGAAAGTATCAAAATAGAGTTTTATCATAAAAATATCAGCAACATATTTTTGAAAAAAAAAATAACAGCAAGACATTTGTCTCTCGACATAAACACTTTTTGAAAAAATGCATCAATGAAACCTGATCTACAAACTGATTTCTTACAAAATACTTCTTTTATTCAACGAACTTATCCTAAAAA